CTTTCCCATTTTTCAGCACTTATTCTTGACGTGCCTACTCTTCTAAGCATGAACAGTGTCCTGGACAATGCAAAGAGGCCCATGATTCTGTATGTGCATATTTACTGGGGAAAATGGGATGACTAGAGAAACGTCTGACCCTAGTATAAAGGAGAAAAATAACCTGAAGGTGGTGACTGTCCTAGTGTTTGCTATTTGCAATTTATCAGGTTGTGAAAACTACCCAGATTGATTTTGAGAAAGCAGCCCCTAATAGATTTTCTCTATTTATAGAAACAGCTGATTTTGTGGTTTTAAGGATTCAGAATACCTGTTGTGTGTTGGATCTCCTTGACAGTTAAAAATCTTTCCAGCATTGATTGATTGACATTAAAGAATGCCTTGCTAATCCATTTTGAGTTGAAGCCTGAAAAAGATTTTATGGAATTAAAATGCTCAGCAACGTCAAGCTATTGAACACCAGTATAATACCGAGAGCTCTTTTATTAATAGCTCTGAACACTGGCAGTTTCGAAGCAGCGTCAGGTGAAGTGATGAGCTTAATGTTCAGAATGGATTTTTGGGCACAGACAGGACGCTAGAGCTGTCAATAATGTGCAACAGCACTGAGTGTGCCCTATATTTGTGGTGTTTAATGAGGTCTGCTAGAAGTAGTAGTGGGGGGACTGCTGCATGAAAGGTGCTGGAAGGCCATTACCACTTTAGCTGCTCAAAAAGGTGAACTGCTCGTGAGGATCCAGCAAAGGGAAGCTATAGCAGTGCTGTTTTGGTGGTGCCTGTGGGTAGTTAGAATAGGCAGAAGGAAAAAAGGGCAAGGATCAACCCTGAGGTGTTTTGGACAGCTCTGAGAAGGAACGTATCATGTGCAAAGTATTCAGGTTTTAACCTGAAAAACCTTTTCTCTTTTTTTCATTAAAGAAACAGACTTACTTTATGCAGCAAAAGTATATCGAGATGACCGTCTCCGAAAGAAAGCAGACTCCATGCCCATGGACAACTGCAAAGAACTAGAACGGCTGACCAGCCTCTATCGAGGAGGATGAACTACAGTTCCACACGTCCATCTTTACGTATGCCGTTATCTCTCTTGTAAATTAAGAAGAGATTTAGTTTCACCATGAATGCTGGAAAAGAGGGGTGGATGTAAAACTCTACTGTGTAGCTGTTTCCAGAAACCTTATGCTGACATATCATTTAATGGCTTCTTTACCTACTGTGAAATATAGGTAACTTTAATTGTCTAGATTCTACTTCAAAGCTTCTGTGAGTTCTTTCAGCAGAGAGGATAGCTCAGAAAGGATGCTATACTTGTAGAGACTTAGTCATAGTGGTTCTCCTCTAACATATTTGCCATGTAAATATCTGTGGAAAGAACACTTTGTGTATATACGAGTTAAATGACTTTCTATTTAAAATCTCAGAAATTTAGTTCCATACAACATTTTGTCTCACTGATGGAATAAATAGTATGATTACGTCACTGCTATTCAGATGTCAAGTGTGTGGAGTTGAAACAAGAATTTTTAATATTTTATCTCTATGTAAAATCTTCTAGGTTTGCCAGCTTAGAGGAACTTGGTATTTTTAAATATAATGGCATATATTCCTGAATATCTGTTGGGTTATATTGATCTGGTGTAGAGTAGCAGTTAGCTGTTGTAGTTTTTTAGCGTTTCTAAGCAATGCTGAGAAAACTAAGAACTATGCTGATCTTTTCAGAGTAAATATTTGCAAATGCTGTACAGACCATTATGAGCATTGCTTTTAGTACTTGCAACAGTTTACAGCAGCTCTACCATTTGGTATTCCAGTAGTAGTAAGTCCATACGTATGGCTAACATGCATCCATAGCTTCCTTAATTTTCACTGGAAAGGTAGAGGAAAACATGCAATAGTAAAATCTTAACGCTTTAAAAGAAAAAAAAAAAGCAATCTGATTTTTTTTTTTTTTCCCTGGGAGGCTTCCATTTTCTTACTATTTTTTTATTTCAAGCTAGGTCCCAACACTGATTCCTCAATGGGCACCACAGGTGGAACAGGGAAATATTGCTAAGGACAAGCTACGTGCCTTTCAACACTTTTGCCAACTATTTTAAATGCTTTGCTAGTTTGCAGTGTGCTCCTATGGTCAGAGCCATATCACTTGTCCCGGGTGGAACAGGTAGGGCATGCGTTTTTCTGGAGCAGGACGTTGCTGGGCTGACTTCCTAGCAAGGAGTAAACATACCAGTCGACTCCTACAGACAGTATCATGTTACTCAGTGGCCTGTACCTGGAAACTTTATGTAGCCACACCTGCTGATGCAAAGAGGTGTCTTGAAGCAGCTAAGTACAATGTACTTAAAGTTTATCAAAAGAGGGTTGAAAATGTTTTTACGCTCGGTAGCTGATGTTTTTACATTTTAACAGTGCTATGCGGGAGAATGTTTCTTGTATTTGAAAAAGCCAGGTGGCTCGTAATAAGGGCAGTATTTTTTGTTTGAGAAAACTGCTGTCTTTGAACAATGCTCTCAGGTTATGTGGAGCAGAATTCTCCTCCTAAAGTGAAAGTTTAAATACTTGACTGACTTCATTGGAACTGCTTCTGATCTAGAGCGGGATTTGACTTTAGAAATACGCTACATGCTATAGCTCTAAGTGACCCAGAAATCATTTTGCATATATACCTTTTCTAAACTGTCCCACTGGAAATGTCCTCTATTGAATTGGTGTAACATGAGAGAGACTAGCTGCAGGCTTTTAACTAAGCAGCTAAACCAGCATTCAAGGTGGATAACAAAGCCTGAGGCACAAAGCGGAACTGAAAACTGCTAAAACAAAAGAAGAAAAAAAAAGAGTTGCTGTACTGGATGTCCTTACTGAGATGATAGGAAAAGTGTGCAGAAGTAATGAAAAGGCACCCAAATGTTTGAAGTTTGCAATAGAAATTTATGGAGAAAACATGATTCCCCAGATTTTGTAACTGTCCAGAATGTATTGTAATTATACTAATGAAAACAAACTATCAAAGTACGTATTGGTACTCCCGTGTCTTCTTCATAGAAGAAAATCCTTCCAAAAGCTTTAACAAGTAGTCGGGCCTTCCCGTTCACAAAGGAGTCTGAGCTTGCAGGTGGTCTTTTAGTTAAGAGCAAAAAGGATATATAACACATTTGACAAATATCGGAACAGTGAAGTCAGAGTGGAGAGATGGTCTTCATCTTCATCATGAGGAGATGGTCTTCACCTTTCCTATGAGGACAGGCTGAAAGAGTTGGGGCTCTTCAGCCTGGAGAAGAGGAGGCTCCGGGGTGACCTTATAGCGGTCTTCCAGTACCTCAAGGGGGCCTACAGGAAAGATGGGGAGAGGCTGTTCAGGAGGGCCTGTTGTGATAGGACAAGGGGTAATGGTTTTAAAATAGAGGGAGGTAGATTCAGATTGGATATTAGGAAAAAATTTTTTACCATGAGAGTTGTAGAACACTGGAACAGGTTGCCCAGAGAGGTGGTGGATGCTCCATCCCTGGAGACGTTCAAGGCCAGGTTGGATGAGGCCCTGAGCAACCTGATCTAGTTGGAGATACCCCTGTTCCTTGCAGGGGGGTTGGACTAGATGACCTTTGAAGGTCCCTTCCAGCCCTAACCATTCTATGATTCTATGATCATCTTTCTTATAAGCAAAGCTGCTCGTACTAATGGGATGGGTTGCGTCTGCCCTGCAGTTACTTCTGCTGCAGCTGAGGAGCAGGTAAGTGGACGGGTGTCGAGCTGGGCTAGGTTGGTTATGCTGCTATCAGCACCTCAGCAAACTGGAATAATGCAGAGGCTGTGTCCTGTGGCATCACAAGACGTCCCAGTAGTTCAAAAGTGACATCTAGGCTGCCACATTTCCTGGGATTATCTATTGAAATTGCCATTTTCAAAGAAGGGAACAATTAATATGTTTATACTATTGGAAAAATGCTACTTAGCATTTAACAGATTAAATAGTTTCAGACTTTGAAATGTGCAGTAATATGCAGAAGGTTGCTATTGTTTCCAATAGCATAAAGATTAACCTGCTCTGAACATGGCCTGCAAACATTCTTTTAATATTCCGAGTGGGTGTTTCTCTCCTCATGATTGCTACTTTTTTCTGAAGTCTGAAGGTTTTTTCTTCAGAAATGTCATTATCTTCCCTGAGTTTGTCGAAGGAATCTGCTGGAAAGTCCGGAATTAATTTTCTTACCAGCAAGATGCTAATTGAGCAGGGCGGAGTACCTGAATCTTTTCAGATGACCTTTCTTCAGAAGGTGAAGTTCTCATTAAAATAAGGTATTGGAAAGAACAGGGAAAACCAAAACTGGTTTTGAACAGCCTGACAAAAAAATCCCTCAACTTTTCTAGCTACCCAGAATTAACTCCTTACTCTTTTTATTTAGTCATTACCTCTGTTATTTGAAAAAAAAAAGTGGCTTATCTCTAGTTGTTTCAGGCTTTTTTAAAGCTTCACAAGACGTATACATTCAGAAACATTAGAAATTTTCTGGTGAGCTTTTTTTTTTTCTAATTTAAGCTCCAATATTGGCACCTAAGCAAAATCTTCAAGTATCAACAGTGCTTAGCACGTAGCAGCAGCCTTTCCAAGAAAAAGCAGGGTACAGGCTGAGCAGGGTTCTTTTTTAATACGGTCTGAGACTCCAGCAGAACCAGACTTTACAAGTACATTCACAGTTACCACCATTACACTGTGGGCACCTACTGGTTTTGTTTCTTCACCTCAGCTGTTAAATTATGAGCCTGCAGGTCCATGGCTGGATGGACTAGATCCAAAAGTATGGGAAACGAGCATCACTGGATGAATAAAACTAGATATAACTGTACTCAGCAGAAAGGAATGTGGTTTTTTTTTGGTTTTGTTCCTTTAACTTAAATTCTATGTTGTTTTTTTTTTTTTCTCCAAGACTGTGCT